GGAGAAAGAAAGCCTGCGGCTCACCATTTTGTCCCGGGCTGGTGCTGGTGGTCCAAGTGGGGCAAGAGCAGGGGGGGCACGGGGTGGGACATGTGATTAAGGGGCAATTGGGAAAACTGGTCCACGTCGAGCTGTGCGGGCTGGCGCTGGGGAGGGGCAGGTTAGCGTTACAGCTAACCTGCAAGTCTGGATCAGTGCCCACGGACATGAAGCTGACGAAGCCTGGCAAGCTGTTGCTATTGCCCGTGTGGCTGCTGATCCAAGCCTGGTAACGCGACACCCGTGTGTAGACGCCTGGAATCTCCGGATTGGTGCAGTCAAATCCGAAACTCAGCAACCCACTCAGGACCCATGTGGACCCTTGTTTGCTCACCAAGGGACCGCCACTATCACCCTGTGGAACATCATGGTCACCTAGTTAGTGGATCAACTGGATCTTGTTGAGACATCAATGACAGGCACAAATGGGGGTAGAAATTTGATGTGAAGAGTCACCATTTTGTCATGTTTCTAAAAAAATTGCGCAAGGACACTTCTGAGTGGCAGAAAAATGATTGACTCCCGCTGACCTGGACTGAAACCATGACAAAAAGTTGTTTGCGCTGCCAGATACAGTACTTGAATACCCCAAAGGTTTTTAGGTGTGGTTTTTCAATTTGTGGCATGACGCCACCTCGTGAAGTATGAACTTCCTGGAAGATCATAGTAGGAGATCATAAAATGATGAGGTTTGCATTCAACGTTCAATTATTCTATTTTTGATTTCATTGGGCAAAAGACAACGACGCTCTTCGTGTCATGATTCTTGTTCATTATTGTTTTTAGAAAATAGCACATTTTTCATGCAGGTCATATATTATTTTGTTGTATTTTTCCACCACACCTTAAAGGCCGGTCCCTGAAAATATTGTCTTGACATTAAACCGGTCCGTGGGGCAAAAAAAGGTTGGGTACTTTACTCGTCTTCCTTTTGTGTCATGAACAGAATGAAAAACACGAAGTCACCTGACAGGCGTCCTCTCCTCCAGCCATCAGGCCAGCACAAATCATGTTGTCTGTGATCGTGATCTGCGTGCGGTCGCAATCGCACTGGCGGTTTCCTACAACGGGAGCCTCCACCTCCGTCAGGGACACGGGAGGCGGTGGAGAAACTGCGCACAACAACACCAACAGTATGGTATGAACAAACTAGCTCCTCCCCCGACATCGAAAGTATTGAGAAGCAATTGTTTTTATCTTTGGGATTTTACAGCCTAGTACACGGGCAAGTCAGAATTTCGAGTCGCGCAGCTTTTATGTGGTTCCACATTGTGCCACAACATACCTGGCAGCACTGAGTTGTTTTGGAAAACATGCCGTGTAATTCAGTGCAAGAAAAAGAGGCAGAGGAAATCCCAAACAAAGTTCCAATCACTATTTTGTCACGTTTATTCATGCGTAAAGGCTCTCCAAAGCCCAAAAGATTGGACTTCATGAAATTCAAATCATCAGCAACATCAAATAGTTTAGTGTGCATTTTTCAGATGAGACGATTCCATACGCATTTCCAAATGTGGGGTGTGATACAATTAAAAGACGCTACATTTTAAAATTTGGATCTGCGAAATCGAAACAGATTTACTGAATAAGTTGGTATTCAAATAGTTCAATGTATTTTTGAAGCATTGAAGAAAACATAATTGTCTTGAAAGATGCTAATTTGATTTTGTAAACATCAAATACAATTTGCAGTGGCGGTATTTCTTTTAGTAAACCTAAAAAAAAACAATTAGTAGTTCAGAATGACCTCCCGAGGTGACGTCCCACCATCCGGTGAACCAGCTCTGGGTTCCGTCGAAGAAGGTGCTTCCGCTGGCGGCCAGGCAGACGGACCCGATGAAGTCGTTGAAGGTCACGGGCGAGGAAAGCCTCAACAGCGCCACATCGTTGTCAGAGGTGCTCGAGTTGAAGTCAGGATGGGAGATGATGAGACTGACACTGCGGTTTTGCTCGTTCGGGTTTGAACCCGTCTGGCTGTGACGCCCCACGAACGCTGTCACATTTCCAGCTCTGCAAACACACACACACAAACACACACACACACACTACTCGACCACACTTCCCCCCCCCCACCCCGCACCTCCCAAAGCAGTGTTGCTGGAATGCCTCTATACTCTGCTGGCCTGATAGAGTGGCCACTGTTTCACTGTGATAACATCAGGCACCAGGGCCTGCACAGCCACCGGGCTCCGGGACACCCCTTT